CTCCAGCTCTTTGAAAGTGAATCCCTAATTATAGGCCATGTTTGAGATTGACTAGATGAAATCAACAGCTGTAGATATGACACCAGACTGCAAAAAAATTGACACACTGTTGCCATAAAAAGCCCAATTGTTAATTGCTTCTTTGGCATCTGGCTATCACAAAAAACACCCTTTTGCTGTTTAATATTGAACGCAAATGTAGTGGAAAGAACATTGGGCTAGAATTAGGGGAGGCTGGGATTCTAGTCCCAGCCCTGTTACCAAGAGCCTGTGATTAGGGAGCAAAATATTTCATTTCTCTCAGGCCTCAGCATCCTTACCTATAAAATTGAGGACATAAAACCAAATTATCACTTTCAGCCTAAAAATTCTATTCTGAAATCTTGAAAATACAGTGTACTTCTCATTTCCATCTAGCCTTTTCCCAATAGCCTGATATAATAGCAATAGCCTGATACAATTCCATAATTTTGTGGCGTGATCAAGAACCACACGTTGATTTAAGCGTCTGCGTGGTTCGTGCTGTGCAAGCAGCGCTTTTCCAGTCTTGCTCCAAAGTTTGCTGTAGGCCCCACAAGTCTCCATCGCTTTGCAAATGCAATCTGCCAGTGCTTCATTTTTAATATTGCAGAGTCTTATTTTACTCTTGAGGAGTGTGGACCTGGAATGTACATGAAGATTCTGGAACAGGTACCATTTCAAACTCGGCGGTCGTTGGCTGCAGAAACAAGCCATGAGTCAGGGATGGCAGCATGGGGCTTGGCCATCTGCAGGCCTCCTGCTCAGGCCCCCTGTACAGGATCTGAGGGGCATGGCCCTGGTTTTTCATTTCACCAGAGTTTCATCCCTAACTCTGGTGCCTGCCCACCCTGCTCTGTTCACTGGGTTCTTTGTCTCGTGGTACTCTGGGTTGCCAGGAGCTTTGGCCCCCTCCTTTCCTCGGCAGATTCTTTATCCTTCATTTACCTAGTTGCTGCCCCAAGTAGGACAGCCTTCACTCAGGTTCCAGAGGGTTTGCCTATCCCTGTTCTGTTCAACCACAGGGTGGAAGCCATGTCCTCTAAGCCACATGATAGCTGTTAACATGCAGTTCATAATACCCACCATTTGCCTCTCTTGTGGGAAAGTCAAAAGACAGATGGGGAAAGAAACCAGCTTTCCCTGTTTAACTCCAGCTCCAGTGTTTTAACTCACAGGAGGTACTTGGCAGGGATAAATTTCTTTGTTTATAGCTTTTAGGCTTGTGGCTGATTATATGAACTTTTGGTGTGTTCCTGAAAGAACAAAGCAGCATTCATTCTCTTCACCTTTGGTGACCCAGTTAATGCATCTGTGTTTGTAATCACTTGATACCTCTGTCTTGTTGCTTCTTGCTGAGTAGCAATCCACTCCAGAATTTCATGGCATAAAACAAGGGTGCATTATCTCACAATTCTGCAGTCTTGACTGGCCTTAGCGTATCTTCTGCTCTTCATGGTGTATGCTTGGACGGAAATATCTAAGGTGGCCTTTCACTCCCATACCTCAGCTGGGATGGCTGGGCATCTAACATCTGGTTGAGGGTCTCTCCACGTGCCCTCAGCACATGACTATCTTGGGCTTCCCCACAGCATGGTCGTCTAAGGTAATCAGACTAGTCTTTTAACATTGTGGCAAGCCTCCAGTTTCTGGCTTCCAGTTTCTCTTAAAAGTCTAAATTGGCAGTGTCTCTTCTGCATTCTATTGGTCAAAACAAATCATAGACCAGTCTAGATTCAAGAGGAGGGGAAATAGACTCCGCCTCTTGATGACAGGTACTGCATGTCACACAGCGAGGGAAGGAATTGACAGTGGCCATCTTTGGAGATTATCTACCATAGCCTCCCTGTTGATATTAATACATTCTTTCATTTATTGGTCTTCCCTTTTTCTTTTCTTTTCAAATTCAACATTATTTTAAATTTTTATTACATACAAAAACTTGTATATAATTAATGTATACTACAGCTTGATGATTTTGGAGATAAGGATGCACCCATGAAACCATCACATAATCTATGCCATAAGCTTATCCATCATCTCCAAAAATTTCCTCCTGCTCTCTTATCTATCATTATTATTATTATCCTTTATTCTTAATGCCATTATATGGTATAGGAGCACAGGGTAGGCAGGAATTAATCCCATGGCCTTAAGCGTCAAATCTTTTCCCAGCAATTCCAGGATGCTTTGGGAAAGCGTTCTCTCTCTGCCCTGGACCATAGGATTGGACACGTCCCTTAAAGGCTCCTTTGACTGCATTGGGAAGTGCAATAATGGCTAACATCAATCGAGCCCTTGCTATGGACCAGGCCCTATGTGATGCCTTTTTCATGTATCATGTTATTAAATTATCATAATATTTCCAGGCCTATGCAATATGATTTCAGTAGATAGTTTCTAGGTTGGTTCAGAAAATGGAAACATAGCATGACAAAGTTAGCACCAAAGATTCGGAAATGCTACCTACACTTAAGGTCACAGCCCCTCCCTTTACAGAAGCACTTATACCCTTTAGATAATTATTATCCATTCACTTTTCCTTCCCCCTTCCCATAATCCCTTTTGTCCATATTGTTCAATTCCATTAGCAAAAGAAACTTTATATTGTATTAATTAGATATTTGTCCCAGGTGGGTCCTTTTCTTCCCCGACCCCAGGTGCACTGACTTCCTGCAACAGGTGCAAACAAGGAGGGACTCTGAAGGAAGTTCAGGTCCAGGAACATAGATCAGCCATGTGGAGCTGAGTCTGTTCCCTGAGCGGAGAGAGAGCACACACAGGCCACACGCACAGCTGGCACCCTCCTCTCCCGCTCAGGGCAAAGAAATGTGGTCAAGGTAGAGCGTAACATAACACCTGGTTCCATACCATGCCCACAGAGCACACTCTATAAACGCAGCTTGGGAAAATGACTATTATAATATTATCCCATGTAGGAACATCAGCAAACCCAGATCCAGTGACTACCCTAAAAATCTCACTGAGGTAGCACATAGCATTTTTTTAGGTTGTATTTCTATATTTTTTAAAGGTTCATAAATATATAATTTACATACCATAAAGTTCACCCATTGAAAATGTATAATTCGATGGTTTTTAACATATTTAGGGAATCATAAGCCATCACCTTAATCTAATTTGGGGACATTTTAATCACCCCAAAAGGAAACTTTGTTTCCATTAACAGTCATCCTCATACCACTCCCTTCCCTTAGGCAACCACTAATCTACTTGCTTTCTCCATAGATTTGCCTACTCTGGATATTTCATATAAATGGAATTATGCAATGTGGCCTTTGGTAGCTGGCTTCTTTCACTTAGTGTCATGTTTTTTGAAGTTCATCTATGTTGGAACATGTATCCATACTTCATTTCTCTTTATGGCTGAATATTGTTTCCATATTTTTGGCTATTATGAATTTGAACATCCATCATATACACTTTTTTTTTTTTTTTTTTTGAGAAAGGGTCTTGCTCTGTCCCCTGGGCTAGAGTGCAGTGGTGTCATCCTAGCTCACAGCAACCTCAAACTCCTG